CACCCCAACCCTGGAGAAGGGTGAATCCCTGCTCCACCATCAGTGTTGCTTGGGGAGCCTCAGTCTGTCCATCCCCCAAATGGCGCAGCAGCATTTGCTGCCTGCCCCCCAGGCTGGCGGGGGTGTAAGGGGTGTCCATGAGACGGGGTGGCAAAGCTTGCCCCCTCCCGACAGCCACCTGCCTCCTGCCTGTGTGTTTTAGCACATGCTGTTCCCTCTGCCACTGAGTCCTTCCAGCCCCCTGGCCCCCCCGATGCCTGACAGTCTGTGTGCCTGGCAGTCCTGAATGACTGTCCCATTAAAAGCTGCCATTCGAGGAAGTAAAGCTCAGAGAGGTTGCCTCCTGCCCAAAGTCACACAGCAGGGGATTCTCTCTCTCTCCACCCCTGGGCCACATCACTGAGCACAATGGCAGGGATGTGGCCAGATGGGGGCATCCCAGCCCACCTGGGTTAGGGAGTCTGGGAGTGCTGCCCGGAGGAGGCCATGTCCAACCTGGACCCTGAACAGTGAGCCGAGGCCACGTGGGTCGATGTGGATGCCTGGATGGGAAGGAAGGAGGGTGTTCTGGGAGCGCAGGTGAGGGGGAGCTGGATCTCAGGGCCAACGGGCGAGACAAGATGTGCCCTGGCCTCAGTCCTCGGGTCGGCGCGGGTCCCCCGCCCCTCGCGAGCCACTTGCCCTTCAGCTCTGCTGTGTTTCTCCTGCACCTCAATGTGCAAGAGTCACCTGGCTGTCCCATCGCACAGAGCTTGGCATGACGTCAGGCTTGGATGGTGACTGAAAGTGTAAAAGAGGAGGCCGGGGTGGGGTGTTCCCCATGCTCTCCTCTGGCCTGGGGGGCTGAGGATGCTGGCGGGGAGGGGGCCTGAGCACCGGGCCGGTCAGCCTGGTGCTGCTGGAGGGGAACAGAAAGGCGGCAGAGGCAGGGCAACTGGACCTTGGCTTTGCATGACGCGTTCCCTGTCATGGTGAGGATGGGCTGGGGCTCCAGGGCCTACCTGCCCTCTGCACTGACCAGCCCTGCAGACCCCCTGGGGGAGGAGCGGTGCCACTTGCTCTGCGTCTGGTCAACTGAGGCACAGAGACGGCGAAGCAGGTTCTGGGGAAGACTGGCCCAGGCAAGTCCCTCCCCGGCCTTCTCCCGGTGTCCTGTCCAGCAGGACCAAGGTACCTGTGGGACGTCTCCACACACAAATGTCTAATGTTCTCCCACATCAGTGCAGAAGAATCAAGAGGCTCTAGAACGGCTCAGACATGAGAACATAGCTCAGCCACAGAGAGCACAGCCCCCAACCTGGCCCTGTCTGGCCCTCGAGAGAGGTGCCTCCTTCCCCAGGAAGCTGCTGGCGGGCCAGGCGGCCATGACCCTCCCTCATCGCAGAAGGGGAAACTGAGGCTTGGTGAATTTAAACACTTGCTCCAGATCACCCGCCACTCTGCAAGCAGCTAAGCTGGGATGTGGCTCTGGCTGGGGCATCACCCCCTCTCTGGACCGCCCGCCAGGCTCCCAGGTCACAGATGTCACCCTCGGCTCCCAGACACTGCCCCTCCCACCCCTTCCTGCTCTTCACCTGCACCCTCAGCGCAAGCCCCAACCTGCAGAGGCCCGTGGGGCCACGAGTCCCCCTTCATCGGTGTCACACTCCCCACAGACCTAGCCATGTGCGTCCACAGTGCCCAGATTTCTTGTTAAAAATGCAGCTCCTGGCTCAGCAGGTCTAGCGCAGGGCCTGGAACTCTGCATTCCTAACAAGGTGAGTCCAAGGACTTCCCTCTGGGGAAACGCCGCCCCTCGTTGGTGGCTGGTGCTCTCTCCCACCCTGAGTCGCCACCTCGCTCCTGAGGCTCAGCAGCCAGCTTTTGTCTCAGCACAGGAAAGGCTGTGCCCTTCCATGAGGTAGTGCGGGCAGCGGCGGGCAACCTCCTTTCCAGCCCAGCGGCTGCTCCCCTTGGCCAGCCCCACCCTCGCCCCAGGGTCCTGGGGCGAAGTCACCCTGGAGGGGTGAAGGCGGCCCGAGGGCCTTGTCCTTCTCCGGCTCCCTAGTCTGCAGCCTCACCACGCTGGCCCTCGGAGTCCTGGGGTGCAGGGACCTCTTCTCCTGCAGCCCCTCATTGAAATTTTGCCCTTGCCCAAGAATCCTCAGCTGAGAGCGCATCCCTGTTAATTCTCATTGTGCATTTCGAGCCCACAGGCTTTTATTTATTCATTTATCTTGGTCTTTCTTCCCCCGCCCCTTCCTCACCAGGCTGGAATTTACAATTCAGTTCTCAGGTGGCCTTGCGGAAGGACGGAAGCCTGGGTGGAGGGGCGTCTACACCTGAACCCCAAAAAGCCACTCCTGGCTCCTTTTGCACCCTTGAGGTGCTCAGGGGCCCTGCTCTGCTTAGCTATACCTTGGGACAGGCAGGGCTGGGCCCAGGGGCGATGCTTGGGGACAGACACCCCCTGGTGTGCCAGCCTGAGGGGGCGGGGGGGGGGCCTCTGGTTACCACAGGGGTGCTCCCTAGTGGCTGGCTGACACCACCCAAGTGGCGGCCCCGCAGGTTAAGTGGCCGCAATGACACGCTTAAGTGGGGGGCCATGCCCACACAGCCCTCTGAGGTCCCAGGACCCCCGGGGCAGGGCAGGATATGCCTGGTGGCCTGGACACCCCAGGGTCCTGCTGCCGCTCCTGCAGAGACGTCTCTGCTCCACACCCCGCAGAAGCTGCGCTGGGCAAGGGATGCGGCCCCAGGAAGGAGCGGGCGTGCCAGGGCCGGCCCTCGGGCGTGGATGGGCTTCCGGCCCACCTGCTAAGCTGAGCGGCCTTGCAGGGCTGGGGATGCCCTGCTGACACCCACCGCGGGTGAGCGTGGTGCCACCCAGAGCACCCCAAGGTGACTAAGTGAGACACGCACCGGCATGCTCGGTGGCAGCAAATGGCAGGGCGGGGGCTTGGATCCACCTGGATGTGACCCCTTCCTCCCTGCGGAGGTCAGTCCCCAGAAAGGCTGCCTCCGCCGGCCAAGGCAGCAGCCCTGTCCTCGTCGGCACGTTTGTAATCAAACGCGGAGCCGGAAGGCCGCGTGCGATGAAATATTTAAGCTCATCAGACAGGTGCGAGACCTGAGGCCCCACCTCCGCGCGAGAGGCTGGAGATGCTTCTCCTCCGCCCCTGCCCTCCTCACCTGTCTTCTGAGGAGAGAAGGGGCAGGGGACAAAAGCTCCTTCCAGATCTCAGGACACGTGCCAGGACTCAGGCTGAGCTGACAGCAGGACGGGGGGGCACGCCAGCCTGGCAGCTGCACTGGCTTCTCAGCGTGAGGGGGCAGGGCAGAGGTCCGGGGCCAAGGGCCCGCTCTGGCCAGGAGAGGGCCTCGGACTTGCACCCAAGGGTCACCTCCACCCCGGGAGCCCTCGACCAGCGCTGGCCCCATGAATCACAATTGAGCCGCCCGCCCCTGCTCCCCGGCACAGGAAGGCGGCGGTGACCATTGAAGAGAAGAGCCGCAGCGCAGGCTCCAGCACCAGAGGCCGGGACTGACCCTTCGGGATGTGCAGAAGAGTCTCCCCAGGAGCTGCGGCGGGCGGTCCGCCTGGGCCCCCAGCCTGGCCTTGTCCCCGACCTTCAGGGGCGGCCCCTTGGCCCACCCCTGAGCCACGCGGGCCCTGAGGTTCCTCGTGGACTCCAGCCCAAGGACCCTCTGGCCTGTCGTCTTCTCTCCTCTCACCGTCTCCCTGGCTGGCACCTGCTGGCCCTGCCACCGTCCACAGTGACGGCCCCATGTGAGGCGGCCCCTCCGGGCGAGAACTACCTTCCTGAACTGACTGCTCTGGCCCCAGGGAATGAGGCACCCCAGGACCCCAGGGGGACACCCACTCAGTGCAGCCTGAGACCCGGAGGCTCCCCAGGGGACAAGTGGAGGTGGCAGCCACCCCAAGGAGGCCACTGAGTCCCCCCATCAGTGATGTGGGGTGGGGGTAGGCGCCTGGGTTGGGGGAAGCTATCAGGGGACTTTGGAGCCGGACTCTGAGACCTCAGCTGCGCTGCTCCCGGGGAGTAGCCTCAGCTTCGCCATCCCTCGGTGGGCATGACAACAGCAACGCCCCAGGGGCACTGGCTCTGTCTAGGCCCCGACCTGAGCATCTCATCAGCGTGGCCCCTTGAGTGTGTGCTGTTGTGTGACCACTTTACAGCGAAGAGACAGAGAGCCAGCGCCCCCCACGGGGGTACAGATGAGGCCGCATCCTCATCCAACACGGACTGGCCCACGAGGGACCCGCTGGCCCAGGGCCACCCCCGCGGGGACTCGCCCGAGCATCCGTGGTCGCTGTGGTTTTGTTACTTGGATCCTCAAGCCCCGAGGCTCTCCGACCCCGACCCCACCCTCTCTTAAGCAGGGACTCCAGGGACGGCCTGCACGGCTCCGCCCCCCACTCGCCAGGCGCGCACAGAGGGGGAATTCAAAGAGGTGCAGCCCGGCATCGCCCCGCCAGGCCCCCTTCCTCTCAAGAACCAGGCCTGCGCCCCCACCATGCCTGCCAGTGCCCCCACCACTGCCCCACCACTGCCCCTGCCAGTGCCACCTCAGCACGTGGCCTGGCCTGGCCGGCGGCACTGTCTGCGTGGCTGGTGGGGAGGAGACGGCAGCGCAGGGGGGCCGAGGGGTCAGGGGCAAGTGAGCACAGACGTTGCCTGGCTCGCCGGCCCGGAGTGCAGCAGCTCCACGGTGGGCGGGCGTCTCTGCCGGGCTGCAGAGCTGCGGTCTTCCCGAGCGGAAGCGACCAGGTGGCCGAGAATTTCCCCCACAGCGCACGCGGTCACGTGACCCCGAGTCCACGGGTGGCCTTCGCTTTGGCGCCTTTCCAAGGTGGGACCTGGCCGCGGTCCCAATCCAAGGCGCAGGGAAGTCAGCCTGGCCTCCTGGCCCTCCCACGCTGCCCGCCCGCCCCGGCCTGTCCCAGACGTCCCCGCTGGGCTGGGCAGAATGACCCCGACCGTGTCAGGCTGACTTACGTGCGAGCAGAACCTCTCTGGGGGGTCTCCACATGTGATGCCCGAGGGCTCCACCTTCACCTTGACATAGTCCTTCAGGCGCATCACCTTGGGCTGGCAGGCGTAGAACTCCCAGGTGGGACCCTCGTCCGAGGTCACCCAGGATTTGCAGATGTCGTAGTCCGCAGCGGCCCGCGGGAGGCAGTGCAGGAGGAGCGCCAGCAGGTGCAGCATGGCTGCGCGGTCCGCAGGGTCGGGGCCCGAGGGGCCCTGCACAGGCAGCGGCGGGCTCAGGCGGGACGCGCGGCCTCAGCATGGACACCCACGGCGACCGGGCGGCGGTGGCCGGATGCCCCAGGGCTCGCCCACGGCTGGGCCGCAGCGGCCAGGGGCCTGGCTTATCCCACGGGCCGACGGGGATGCCTCAGCGCCAGCCTTTCTCAGACTGCTGATGGGCGAGTCACAAAGTTGCCCATAACTTCGTGTCCTCCTAACCTTGGCATTCTGCCTCTCCCAGAGGTGGATCTGATCGAATCAGGCAGACTCAAATTGTGACAGTGGATGGAAATGGGATAGGGAGAAAATCCGCAGGGATCTGGCATGAGGCCGGATCAGATTGCTTTTAATTTTTGTCCTTCCAATCAATCCAGGTCTTTAAAGGGCCCTTCACGTGTGCTGCGCGCCACACAACTGCAGAACAACCGTCCGGCCTGCATTGCAAAGATAAAATAAAATCAGGCGGTACACATGTTAGCTGGAAGAATGTTCCCTCTATGGGCCTGGACTTGGCATCTCGGGCCAATAAAAGAGTTTTCTTTTCATCCGGGCTTAGAGGGACATCGACTGTGCGGCTGGCCTACCGAGGCGCTAAGTGGGGAGGAGCTGATTTGGCTCTGCTTGGGTGGGGACAGTCACCGACGGGGGCCAGCAGACCCTGCCTGGTCGCCATCGGCAACTTATTAGGAAGTTTCCAAGACTTCAGCTCTCAATGCATCCAGGTCCCCCGATCTGGTTTGTCTTTCATTGTAAGAGGGAGGAGAGAGGGCTCATTAGCAACCACACCTGCAACAAATTAAAAAGGGGGGGGCATGTACAAGAACAAAAGCTCTCTGGCAAAATGTGCAAAAAAAAATGAGGCTGCATTAGCAAAGTCTCCCAAGGAAACTGGGTTATTTTTATTAAAATCGGAGTTGCACATTTGGAGATGGGGCGCGCTATTAAATTGGTGAGGCGAGTCGTTCTCATTTCTGGGGGTGTCGGGCCAGCAGCAGCGCTCGTGTTGGGGTCAGCGGCTTTCTAAAACGTCCCCAGGACCCGAGAGGTGACGGCTGCCTTGGAATACCGGGACCCGTGAGTTGGGGTCTCGAGCGGGTAAAGGCGGCGACGAGAGCGCGACCATTGAGCACAAGGGACCGGCCGCCCAGGGCCAGAGCCCGCCCGTGGCCGGCTGCTGCGGGAAATCTCTCTCCAGCCTCAGATACGGCAAATTTCCTTCCTAACTCTAAGAAACTGGGGCTATTGAGGACGCCAGCCCGAGGGACGGTGCTTTGTCATATTTGAATTTCCGATCAAGCCAAAAAGCTGCGACCATCCTCAGCAGGTCCGGCCAGAGTGGACCGCGGTTCTGCCGACGGCTTCACTAGTTTAAGCTACTGGTAATTAATTAAGAGCCAGATAGGTAGAATGAAGATGAACGCCCCCCGGCGAGGACCAGGGTTCTAGCGAGGGGGTGTTTTCCCAGACACTTGATACATCACCAGAAAGTGAATCCAGCCAGAGCGGGATCCTGGCCAAAACTACCCGCCCATGGGGCAAAGGTTCCTGCGAGGAATCGCAGCCGAAGGGCCCGTGTTATTCGTTACTCTGGCTGTGATGCCCATTCCCGTAGAGTCGCAATTCCCGAGCCACTGAGACATCGGTGCTGACCTTAGTCTCTGTCCTGGCGTCCTGTCCCGCCCTTGCCCAGGGAAGAGCCCTCAAGAGTTAAGTACGTTTCCATGAAATCCCACTCACCCCAGACACACACACACACACACACACACTCACACTCACACACACACACACACACACTGCTGCCAAGAGGACAGAGGTGGACATTGCCCCAACGGGCTGGCTGCCAGCCCCTTGCTCCCCAAAGCAGCCCCCACCCCTGACCCCCGCCCCTCGATGACCGCTGACCGCTGGCCGGGGGAACCATAAATCTGCGTGAAGGCAGCGGCCCCCGCCCCGCCCTCCGGCTGAAGGGCTCTTGATAGAGATGAATGAGGTGCCGAGGGGGCCACATTTCCCTGACTCACCTATGGTTGCTCACAGAGAAACCTGTTCTAGCGTGTGCCTGGCCTTGAATATGCTCCTTGCTAGAAAACTCTCAGAAAGAACCCGCCTGGCGACTATTTTTACAACCTGAGAAAATGTAGTAAAAATAAAATAGCGCGGCCGGCAAAGGTTTGGATGCCTCTACCCCGGCTCGGCTCGGCGCTGCCCAGAAAACAGCACGTCCCTAATTAATTCTTCCAGCCTCGGACTCCCAACTGTTCACTAAAAGGCAGGGAGCGCCTGGCTGCTGGGGGACACCGGGGCGCCGGCTGCAGCTCGCAGGGAGGCCTCAGCCACCGGCTTCCTTCATCTGCAGGGCCGGGGCCGCCCCAGGTTTGGACGGTGCTGGCCGAGGGCCGGCGGGAGGAGGCAGTGACCCCGGAGGCTGGGAGGCTGGGGCCTGCCGTGCAGGGTGCACCTTGCACATCTCTCCACCCGGGCGCTGCAGCTCTGGTGGCTGAGACACCCCGCATTCCCTGGAAGGGGGGGCTGGGCTGGGAGGGCGCCAACAGCAGCACAGTCTGCTGGGGGGAATAATGTGTTTACAACCAGTCAATCAACGGGGCGTTCCTGGCAGGGTAGGGGGAATTGTGGGTTCAGCGCTCCAATATTACGGCTGGCTTTTGCCAAAAAGAGAACCAGGGAGGGGGACAGGCACCCGCGTCCCCAGCAGGAGGCGGGGAGCAGAGTGCGGCCGGCGGGGGGAGTGTGGAGCGAGGGGTTGGGTCCCGGTGGATCGTTTTTCTCCTTGGAAAATAAATCTTCACCTGATATTATTAAGAAACTGCAGCTCCCAGAAACAAATAGAATCAATGCGCTTTATTTTCTTTTAAGAGTCCTCAGGAACCGAGGGGGCCGATGCCGGGGTATGAAAACCTGAAAATTAGATTTCACCAGGATTTCTGAACTCGGCTTTCTCTGTCTTATTGAATTAGCGCCTGGGGCGCGAGCTGGCCAGGGGCAGGCTCCTCCCGGAGTTGCCGGCTGCGCCCCGAGTCGTGGGAAACTTGGCCGGGTGGGCGCCGGGACCTCGGGGTCCCTGGGAGGGGGTTCTGGGGGCGTCGGCCAGGACCCAGCCCACCTCCACGTTGCCTGTCCCTTCCCGGCGGGGGCGCGAGGGGTGCGGGACCCGCTTGCAGAGGGGCGCAGGGGGGGCTGGAAGGGAAGGGAGCCCTCCCCGGCGGGGGTCACCTTGCTGCCCCCTCCCCCATCTCGGCCGGGTCAGCCCTCGGCCCGGCTCCCCGCCGGCTCCTGCTCGTCCGGGCTCCAGAGGCCTCGCGCCCTCAGCCCCCAAAGGGACCCTCTCCGGCTCTGGGCGCCCCCCAAGTCCCCTGCGCGGTAGGGGCGCACGGGAAGTTGAACTCGGGGAGTGGGGCGCGAGAAGGTGACCTCCCCGCGGGGGGCGGGAGCGGCGGCCGCCCGCGGGGGTCCCCAGGACCCCGCTGCGCCGCGGGTGCCGCGAGCCGGGCGGGTCGCGCCTGGACGTGCCGGGCGACCCCGCGGCCGCTGCTCGTCTCTCCGAAGTTGCGCGCGAGCCCGGGGGCAGCAACCAGCTCGCCCTGCACGCGGGCCCCGCCGCGCCGGGGCGCCCCCGCCCGGCACCGCCTCCTGCCAGGACGGGACGCCGAGCCGAGGTTCTCCCCCGCGCCCCGACCCCGCGCCCCCGGACCCCGCGCGCCCCCCCACCCCGCGCCCCCGGCCCCGGCCCCCCGCGCCCCACCCCGGGCGGCAACTTACCCGGGCGTGGGGGACGCGCAGCCGGCGGCGCCTCTCCCCGCGGTCCCGCCGCCTCGGCTCCCCAGCCGGGTGCGCCTCCGCGGATCCCCAAGCCCGGCCCCGCGCGCGCCTCCCCCCGCCGCCCGCCCTCCGAGGCTCAGAAAGAAGTTTCCAGCAGCGGATGCCGGAGTTTCTCCGCGCGGCTCCAGCGCACCCCGTTTTCAAGAGAGACGGGGAGGGGCGGGGGGCGGAGGGCGGCTCCGGACGGCGGGATGGAGTCGGGGTGGGGTGGCGGCGCGCAGGGGCCCGTCTCCTCGCCGCACAGACACCGGGCATGCTGGCAGCACCCGAGCATCCTCTCCAGGCGCGCAGGCACGCGCGCGCACACACACACACACACACACACACTCACACTCACACGCGCGCGCGCGCACACACACGAGCACACTCACACGCGCGCACACGCGCAGGACGGAAACAGACCCCGCGGGCGGCCGGCCGGCCGCCAGCCCCCTCGCAGAGGCCCCCGCAGAGCCGCGCGCTCCCCGCTCGGGCTCGGCCCCGCGGCGCCGGCGCTGCCCGGCAACTTTTGCTCCCGGCCTGGGCGCGCGGCGCGGCCCGGAGACGCCCGCCGGCCGCCCCAGCCCTTCCGAAGCGAAAGCGGCCGGGCTCCCCCGCAGCCCCGCGCCCGCCCGCGCCCGCCTTACCCGGCTCGGAGCGGCTCCGGGGCGCGCCCGAGGCCGAGGCCGCCGCCCGCCGGCCGGCGCGGGGGCGCGCGCGGGGGCCGGGCCGGGGCGCCCCGCGCGCGCGCCGCCGCGGGGCCGCGCCGCCGTCAGACCCGGGCCGGGGCGCCCTCCGGCCGCCGGGGGGGCCGCCCGCCGCCGTCCCGGGGGCGCGGGCCGGGGGAGGGGGCGGCGCGCGGCGCCCGCATCGCCCGCGGGGCCGCGCGCGGGGCGCCGCTAACAAGTGCAAACTTTTCGGGCCCCCGGGCGCCGCGGGAGGGACCCGCGCTCCGGCGCCGCGCGGCCCCCGGCCCGGGTGGGCTTCGCGGCGGCGCGCGGGGCGCCGGGGCATCCCCCGCGCGCGGCCGGACGGCGGACGGTCACCGGCCCCCCGCGCCGCGCGCCAAGTTAAAGCCGGGGCGCAGCGCCCTCGCCATCACTCACGATCACCATCGGGGCTTTTATCTCCCGGCTGATCGGGCTGCGTAACTTCCTCCGCGCTCGGCACCGGCCCGCCTCGGAGCCGCGGT